CACCTGACTGTCCTCAACCATCCCGCTCCTCTCACAGTGTTCCTCTGGCGCCACCTGACTGTCCTCAACCATCCCGCTCCTCTCACAGTGTTCCTCTGGCGCCACCTGACTGTCCTCAACCACCCCGCTCCTCTCACAGTGTTGTGTATGTGTTCCTCTGGCGCCACCTGACTGTCCTCAACCATCCCGCTCCTCTCACAGTGTTCCTCTGGCGCCACCTGACTGTCCTCAACCACCCCGCTCCTCTCACAGTGTTCCTCTGGCGCCACCTGACTGTCCTCAACCACCCCGCTCCTCTCACAGTGTTCCTCTGGCGCCACCTGACTGTCCTCAACCATCCCGCTCCTCTCACAGTGTTCCTCTGGCGCCACCTGACTGTCCTCAACCATCCCGCTCCTCTCACAGTGTTCCTCTGGCGCCACCTGACTGTCCTCAACCATCCCGCTCCTCTCACAGTGTTCCTCTGGCGCCACCTGACTGTCCTCAACCACCCCGCTCCTCTCACAGTGTTCCTCTGGCGCCACCTGACTGTCCTCAACCATCCTGCTCCTCTCACAGTGTTCCTCTGGCGCCACCTGACTGTCCTCAACCACCCCGCTCCTCTCACAGTGTTCCTCTGGCGCCACCTGACTGTCCTCAACCATCCCGCTCCTCTCACAGAGTTTCACAAACTCCTCTCACAAACTCCCTAGTTTCATTACTTTGCATTTGCTCGGGTTTGAACTTCAACAGCCATTTGTTGGACCATTCACTCAGTCTGTCTAGGTCATCTTGTAGCATCCTACTATCATCCTCTGTTTCAATCCTCCTCATAATTTTTGCATCTTCGGCAAACATTGAGAGAAACGAGTCTATACCCTCTGGGAGATCATTTACATATATCAGAAACAGTATAGGTCCAAAGACTGACCCCTGCGGGACTCCACTTGTAACGTCTCGCCAATCTGAGACCTCACCCCTCACACAGACTCGTTGTCTCCTGTTGCTTAGGTACTCCTCTATCCACCGGAGTACCTTCCCTTTCACTCCAGCCTGCATCTCCAGTTTTCGCACTAGCCTCTTGTGTGGCACTCTATCAAAGGCTTTCTGACAATCCAAAAATATGCAGTCTGCCCACCCCCTCTCTTTCTTGCCTGATTTTTGTTGCCTGGTCGTAGAATTCAAGTAACCCTGTGAGGCAGGACCTGCCATCCCTGAACCCATGTTGGTGCTGTGTTACAAAGTTCTTTCGCTCCAGATGCTCCACTAGTTTTTTTCGCACAATCTTCTCCATCAGCTTGCATGGTATGCAGGTTAGGGACACTGGCCTGTAGTTCAGTGCCTCCTGTCTATCCCCTTTCTTGTATATCGGGACTATGTTAGCTGTCATCCAAATTTCTGGCAGTTCCCCTGTTACCAGGGATTTGTTATACACTATGGAGAGTGGCAGGCACAGTGCTTCTGCGCCTTCCTTTAGTATCCAAGGGGAGATTCCATCTGGGCCTGTAGCCTTTGTCACATCCAACTCTAGCAAAAGCTTCATTACTTCCCGGCTGGTAATCCAAAACTCTTCTAGTGATGCCTAGTTCCCTCTCTTATCTCTGGAACTTCTTGCTCTAATGTGAAGATCTCTGGGAGTTTCTTATTGAGTTTCTCGCACACTTCCTTGTCGTTTGTAATGAATCCTTCTGGCCCTATCCTTAATTTCATTACCTGTTCCTTTACTGTTGTTTTTCTCCTGATGTGGCTGTGCAACAATTTAGGTTGAGTCTTTGCCTTGCTTGCGATGTCATTTTCGTATTGCCCTTCTGCCTCTCTTCTCAACCTGACATTCATTCCTGGCATTCTGGTATCTGGAGAGTATGAGGTTCATATGAACCTCATACTTGCTGACCAAACTAAATTCCAAAGGGTAACGAAGGACACTACAGCCGAATTGAAAACGAAGGTAAATAAATTGATTGAAACTGTGAACGCCAAAAAATCCGGACTCCACCTGCCAAATATTATTGGGGAATACAAACCTGGGTATGCATATGGAAATGTCAAGACCCACAAGCCTGGAAACCCACTTCGGCCAATCAACAGCCAGATACCCACACCCACATAATGACTGGCTAAGGATTCAGCGGCTTGCTGACTCCTTATGTACCTTGTGCTTTCAGCCTGAAATCTCCAAAGGAATTTGTTGACTTACTGCGGAGAACACGGGCCACATGGATAAGAGCCTCGTTGGATGTAGAATCACTGTTTACCAACGTACCTGTGGATGAAACAATCGGGATCATAGCGGACAGAGTGTATCGTGATCCGGCCTGTACTCCTCTTGACATACCAGAAAACATTCTAAGGAAACTACTTCAGTCTTGCACTAAAGAGCCACCCTTCTTGAGCCCGGATGGGCACATGTATAAGCAAGTTGATGGGGTCGCCATGAGTGCTCTCCTAGGTGTCCTGTTTGCGAACTTCTACATGGCCATCATTGAGCAGAGGGTCTTAGTTGACATGGACTTGAAACCGGCCATATACTGCAGGTATGTTGACGACATTTTTACACAGGTACCTGATGTCAGACGTCTGCAGGAGCTGAAGGAGGCATTTGAGCGGAATTCTGTGTTGAGTTTCACTTACGAGATGGAGAAGGATGGGAAGCTGCCCTTTCAAGATGTAACAATCCCGAAAATGAGCGGAGGCTTCCACACTGCAGTCTACACTAAGGAAACAAACATAGGAATGTGCCTGAATGCCAACAGCGACTGCCCAGACAGGTACAAGAGGAGTGTTGTCAATGCTTATGTCGACCGTGCTCTCAGCCACAGCTCAAGATGGAAGCAAGTCGATGAAGAACTCTGTAGGGTAAGGCAGGTCCTAGTCAACAATGGCTTCTCTAATGGTTTTGTTGAAGACATCATAAAAAGAAAGGTGAAACGCCATGCAACCTCTGAAGTGTCAACTAACACAACACCTGTACCCCCAATTAGACTATTTTACAGGAACTTCTTTTTGATGGCTCAAAAAACGGAGGAAAGGGTTCTGAAAGATAACGTTGATAGGAATGTTATCCTATAACGTTTTTATATAATAATAAAAATAACGTTATTTTTACAGACAAAAATCAGAAAATACAATTGTCGATTTACTATAAAACCAAGAAAACGGCCAGCCTACTCATGAGAAACTCTCCAGACACAGAGCAGAACGCTTTAAAAGAGACCAACGTCGTCTATGCCTTCAAATGCCCTCTTGGGGACTGTAAGCCTCAAAAAACTCAGTATATAGGCAAGACAACAACGTCTCTTTCCAGGCGATTAACGATGCATAAGCAACAGGGCTCCATTAAGGAACATATAATCTCTTCCCACAACCAGACCATCACCAGAGAAATCTTAACAAACAACACAGAAATCATCGATAGATACAGCGATAGCAAGAGACTCGACATCTGCAAGGCACTACACATCAAGAAGTCAACACCAGCAATCAACAGCCAATTAATGCACAACTATATTCTACCCACTTCAAGACTCCGCTCCAATATAGAAGCATCAAGAGGAAGTGGTGATGCTATGGGCCAATAGGCCTTCTGCAGTTACTTCCATTCTTATGTTTTTATACCCATTGGTTCGTGTTCTGTCTTGTGTAAATGTCAATCACCTCACCCAAATGAGAGTGTAAGTATGGATGTGTGTTTACAGGTTATAGTTGAGTGTGTGTAAACTAAATTCTTTGAAAATGTAATAAGTTATTACGAAACGCGTTCAGGCGTCGCATCAGACTAGAAATAAAAATGAATTTTTGAGAATTGAGTTTTCAATTACCATCGACAGTGAAAAGAAACATAAGAAATATTGAGAAAATTCGTGTTAGAATAATTAATCTTTCCTTTTCGGTCATATATATATATATATATATATATATATATATATATATATATATATATATATATATGTATATATATATATATATATATATATGTCGTACCTAGTAGCCAGAACGCACTTCTCAGCCTACTATGCAAGGCCCGATTTGCCTAATAAGCCAAGTTTTCATGAATTAATGTTTTTTCGACTACCTAACCTACCTAACCTAACCTAACCTAACTTTTTCGGCTACCTAACCTAACCTAACCTATAAAGATAGGTTAGGTTAGGTTAGGTAGGGTTGGTTAGGTTCGGTCATATATCTACGTTAATTTTAACTCCAATAAAAAAAAATTGACCTCATACATAATGAAATGGGTAGCTTTATCATTTCATAAGAAAATAATTAGAGAAAATATATTAATTCAGGAAAACTTGGCTTATTAGGCAAATTGGGCCTTGCATAGTAGGCTGAGAAGTGCGTTCTGGCTACTAGGTACGACATATATATATACATATATATATATATATATATATATATATATATATATATATATATATATATATATATATATATATATATATATATATATATATATATATATATATGTATATATATATGTATGTATGTAATAAATTTGAAAATACAAAATCCTTGCGTAAAAGGATGAAGTCCTCATCCTTAAATAAAATAAAAATCCTAATAAATAAACAAGCCTTAAAACTTACAAATTTATATATAAAATTACATTTTAATAATAATATGTAAGTAAACATTATTGTAAATTATAGTCTGGAAATTCCTGGATATGTAATAATTAAGAAACTCAACAAAATATTAAGCTAACAAAATGTTTAAATAATTGGCAAAGAAACAAAGTTCTATAAAATAAAATACAAGAAATACTGGAAAATAAAGTAATCAATTTTAAGTCACAAGAAGTTCGAAATAAATTGTCAGTAATTTTTGTAGTAAATTATATTTTAAGAAATATGAAATAAGTTGTCATTTAAGGAATTTAAAATAAATTATCTGTTGATGAGTTACAAATTCTCCGTTGATGAATTTGAAATTGTCTGTTGGTAAATTTAAATTTGTCCGTTGATGAATTTGAAATTTTGCGTTGCTAAATTTAAATTTGTCCGTTGAGCTGAACTAACCTGAAAGCGTTCCAAATGTTGTCGATTGAGAATCGTTGCTTGCGCCCTCTGGCGTGTTCCTCCGTCAGGAACGGCGACTGATTCTCCTTGTCGCTGAGGCCTGTTCCGTGGACCGAGTCTATGCTGTCTTGAGAGTAGCGACGGTCCGCCTCCGGACTATAGTAGTCGTCGTCTGCGTAGTCCGTTAGGTCGTGCATGGACTGGGCGCGTGAGGCCTTGTCGTAGTCCTCGAAGTCCAGGGAATCGTCAGTGTCTCGAGGAATACCTCGCATGAGGGCATCGTCTCTGCTCCTCGAGTTTTTGGCGGGAGTTTTGGAGTGGCTGTCCTGCGCAAAGTGAAGTTTGTCCACCAATAGGGAAGGGAGACTACCGCGCAGGTCGTACTTCCTGTGTCGGAAGTCCAGCAGACGATCGATCATACGAGAGTCTTTTCGTTTTTTCTTCTTCTTCACAAGGATGGTCGATTCAGAGTTCGAGCGGGTCCGAACCACTCGTCTCTTCTGGGAGCTGTGGTCTTCGGCTTCCAGTGGAGGGTCAGGGAGTCCTCCGTCTCCCTCTATCATAGTCTCTCCTGACGCTTCTAGTCTGTCCGTACACTGCTCGTCGCCGGAGCTGTCCAGACGGGAGATGTCTGTCATTTCTTCGAGACGAGAACTTCGGCTTTTGAGGAGGTGGTGATCGAAGAGACTCCATCTCCTCTTTGTCTGATGTGCGCTGTTCTTGCGATAACGACCCAACAACCGTGTGTTTATGGCAGTGGGTGGAACAACATCTACGGCTATGCCAGCCTTCACCTCCGGATTGAGGCTGACTCGCCGCTCTTGATGTCCCTGAAGATCGAGGCTGCCGGAGGAGCTCTGACTCTCACTGTCCAGCAGGTCACTCTGAGACCGTGAGCGGATCTTGGAAAGGAGTTTTCTAACGGGCGAATCGTCGTTCGAGTGATTTCTGTGGCGATCCTGGGTGGCCGACCGCCCTCGCCGACTGGAATCTAGATGAAAGACATCGAGGAACATGTTCTTCAGTGACTGTTTCCGCTTGGTGTAGTCGACCTCGGGTGCAAGAGTCTCCTGCGAGGCACAGAATCTGGTGTTGACAATATTGTCTTCGTCCAGACATCGAAGTTGAGTGGCGGATGACGATGTTGGCATATGGGAACATCGGTTACTCTTGCCCTCGATGGCACCCAGAGCCAGAGTCGTTCTCTCCTCCGAGGTCCGAGGCGGGAAGCCGTCGCCCCAGGAGGTGTCAGAGCACATGGAAACAAGTGAAGGGGAGCGTGACTGTGGCGTACAGGAGCCACTAGACTGTCCGCTGTGGCTCCCCCACTCACTGACGCTCACCTGAGGTGTGGAATACATCCAGCAGCTGCCTGCGCCGTGAGCATCCTCCAGTTGCCGCCTGGAGGCATCCATGTCCTCGGGAGAGTCCTCGGGAGAGTCCTTGGGAGAGTCTTCTCCCTCCCTCCGAGTCCCTCCCACGGTAAACTCCAGTCTCGTCGGCCCGCTCATGGTCCCTTTGATACGTTGCTCAATGTCGTATCAACTACTGAAGTCAGTCAAGAGCTGTTGACTGACGGCTGCGGACGGCGACCACATCTGCTGACGGCGGTGACGGAGGCGCTACGTACTGACGGAGACGACATCAATGTCTCAACAACCGACGGAATTCACAACTAATCACGAATTCTCACCCACAAAATGACATTCGAAAAGATATTAATAGACACAACCTCGCTACACCAACACTTCACAAACACACACAACAAACACACTAACACTGTAGTTGACCGGTTCACCTGTGTCTTTATCAACAAACACAGCAACTTTCTGCCGGATATATATATATACATCAACTGTTTACTGTTTGTACCGTCAAACAATCTCTGTTTATATCACATCTGGAACGTAAAAGTTTGGTTAGATGGGAATGTTAACTGATATGAGTTAGTGAGTTAAGGTAAACAATAGATTATTTTTCTCTCTCTCCCTCCCTCTCTCTATCGTGGTGAGGGAGAGTGGGAAGTGAGGTGTGAGGGAGAGGGAGTTTGACAAGTCTTGTGTCGGGACCCTGAAGATGAGGGAGTGTGTAAGGGATACTTCTCCCTCCCTCACTCTTTTGAGTGTGAGGGGCTGAACACCCTTCCCTCACACACTGTGAGGGGTTGAACACCCTTCCTTCACACACTGTGAGGTGCTGAACACCCTTCTCTCACACACTGTGAGGGGTTGAACACCCTTCCCTCACACACTGTGAGGGGCTGAACACCCTTCTCTCACACACTGTGAGGGTTTGAACACTCCTCTCTCACACACTGTGAGGGGCTGAACACCCTTCTCTCACACACTGTGAGGGTTTGAACACTCCTCCCTCACAGCGTATGAGAACACAGCTCCACCCCCTCACAGTTAATGAGGTAATACCCCCCCCCCCTCACACACCTGCCTCAGGTGAACAGGGGCGTCAGTACCCCCCTCTACCCCCCCCATCCTCAGTCTTCTATATCGTTCATAAAATGTTCAAATTCCTGTTCAAATATGTTCTACCTTCACATATATTCCATGGGAGTGACTATGTTCTTGTTCATTGTTCAACCGGTGTTCTCCATTGCTTGTTATCAGTGGTGCTGGGATCATAACAGGTTATATTAGGGTGTTAATCTTAGCTTATGTTCTCCACCAGCTGTTCTTCAATGGTTGTTTTTTAGTAATTGTTCTTCAATGTTCTCCAGTGAACGACTCCCAAGAGTACGATTATCCGGAGTGTTCACGTCGTGTTGACCCATTAACCGGAGTGTTCACGTCATGTGATCCCATTAACCGGAGTGTACACGTCATGTGGTCCCATTAACCGGAGTGTGCACGTCGTGTGGTCCCATTAACCAGAGTGTGCACGTCGTGTGGTCCCATTAACCGGAGTGTACACGTCATGTGGTCCCATTAACCGGAGTGTACACGTCGTGTGGTCCCATTAACCGGAGTGTTCACGTCGTGTGGTCCCATTAACCGGAGTGTACACGTCGTGTGGTCCCATTAACCGGAGTGTACGTCGTGTGGTCCCATTAACCGGAGTGTGCACGTCGTGTGGTCCCATTAACTGGAGTGCACGTCGTGTGGTCCCATTAACCGGAGTGTACACGTCGTGTGGTCCCATTAACCGGAGTGTACGTCGTGTTGACCCATTAACCGGAGTGTGCACGTCGTGTGGTCCCATTAACCGGAGTGCACGTCGTGTGGTCCCATTAACCGGAGTGTACGTCGTGTGGTCCCATTAACCGGAGTGTGCACGTCGTGTTGACCCATTAACCGGAGTGTGCACGTCGTGTGGTCCCATTAACCGGAGTGTGCACGTCGTGTTGACCCATTAACCGGAGTGTGCACGTCGTGTGGTCCCATTAACCGGAGTGTGCACGTCGTGTGGTCCCATTAACCGGAGTGTGCACGTCATGTGGTCCCATTAACCGGAGTGTACACGTCGTGTGGTCCCATTAACCGGAGTGTACACGTTGTGTGGTCTCATTAACCGGAGTGTGCACGTCGTGTGGTCCCATTAACCGGAGTGTGCACGTCGTGCTGACCCATTAACCGGAGTGCACGTCGTGTTGACCCATTAACCGGAGTGTGCACGTCGTGGTGACCCATTAACCGGAGTGCACGTCGTGTTGACCCATTAACCGGAGAGTGCACGTCGTGTTGACCCATTAACCGGAGAGTGCACGTCGTGTTGACCCATTAACCGGAGAGTGAACGTCGTGTGGTCCCATTAACCGGAGAGTGCACGTCGTGTGGTCCCATTAACCGGAGTGTGCACGTCGTGTGGTCCCATTAACCGGAGAGTGCACGTCGTGTGGTCCCATTAACCGGAGAGTGCACGTCGTGTGGTCCCATTAACCGGAGTGTGCACGTCGTGTGGTCCCATTAACCGGAGTGTGCACGTCGTGTGGTCCCAATAACCGGAGAGTGCACGTCGTGTGGTCCCATTAACCGGAGAGTGTACGTCGTGTGGTCCCATTAACCGGAGAGTGCACGTCGAAATATATACCAAAAAAATCGACTTGAAAACAGCTGATTTCACGGGAAAAGTTGTTTACAAAAGATTGAAGTTTCCGGTTCTTTGCTTAAAGTTTCGGCTCTGTTTTGTTAAGTTTTGTCCTCGAGATGCTGGGGTCGTGTGTGTGTGTGTGTGTGTGTGTGTGTGTGTGTGAGTGTGTGTGTGTGTGTGTGTGTGTGTGTGTGTGTGTGTGTGTGTGTGTGTGTGTGTGTGTGTGTGTGTGTGTGTGTGTGTGTGTGTGTGTGTGTGTGTGTGTGTGTGTGTGTGTGTGTGTGTGTGTGTGTGTGTGTGTGAGTGTGTGTGTGTGTGTGTGGGGTGTGTGTGTGTGTGTGTGTGTGTGTGTGTGTGTGTGTGTGTGTGTGTGTGTGTGTGTGTGTGTGTGTGTGTGTGTGTGTGTGTGTGTGTGTGTGTGTGTGTGTGAGTGTGTGTGTGTGTGTGGGTGGGTGTGTGTGTGTGTGTGTGTGTGTGTGTGTGTGTGTGTGTGCGTGTGTGTGTGTACTCACCTATTTGTGTCTGCAGGATGGAGCATTGACTCTTGGATCCCGCCTTTTCGAGCATCGGTTGTTTACAGCAATAACTCCTGTCCCATTTCCCTATCATGCCTAGTTTTAAAACTATTAATAGTATTTGCTTCCACAACCTGTTCCTTAAGTGCATTCCATTTTCCCACTACTCTCACGCTAAAAGAAAACTTCCTAACATCTCTGTGACTCATCTGAGTTTCCAGCTTCCATCCATGTCCCCTCGTTCTGTTACTATTCCGTGTGAACATTTCCTCTATGTCCACTCTGTCAATTCCATTGAGTATTTTATACGTTATATGGGCGGGGTGTGGGCGTGCAGGGCGGGGTGTGGGCGTGCAGGGCGGGGTGTGGGCGTGCAGGGCGGGGTGTGGGCGTGCAGGGCGGGGTGTGGGCGTGCAGGGCGGGGTGTGGGCATGCAGGGCGGGGTGTGGGCGTGCAGGGCGGGGTGTGGGCGCGCAGGGCGGGGTGTGGGCGTGCAGGGCGGGGTGTGGGCGTGCAGGGCGGGGTGTGGGCATGCAGGGCGGGGTGTGGGCGTGCAGGGCGGGGTGTGGGCATGCAGGGCGGGGTGTGGGCGTGCAGGGCGGGGTGTGGGCGCGCAGGGCGGGGTGTGGGCGTGCAGGGCGGGGTGTGGGCGTGCAGGGCGGGGTGTGGGCATGCAGGGCGGGGTGTGGGCGTGCAGGGCGGGGTGTGGGCGTGCAGGGCGGGGTGTGGGCGTGCAGGGCGGGGTGTGAGAGTGCAGGGCGGGGTGTGGGCATGCAGGGCGGGGTGTGGGCGTGCAGGGCGGGGTGTGGGCATGCAGGGTGGGGTGTGGGCGTTCAGGGCGGGGTGTGGGCATGCAGGGCGGGGTGTGGGCGTGCAGGGCGGGGTGTGGGCGTGCAGGGCGGGGTGTGGGCATGCAGGGCGGGGTGTGGGTGTGCAGGGCGGGGTGTGGGCGTGCAGGGCGGGGTGTGGGCGTGCAGGGCGGGGTGTGGGCGTGCAGGGCGGGGTGTGGGCGTGCAGGGCGGGGTGTGGGCGTGCAGGGCGGGGTGTGGGCGGGGTGTGGGCGTGCAGGGCGGGGTGTGGGCGGCCTGGAGAAAGTCTCCACTCTGCGGGTCCACTTTTTATACCCTAGCGGGGGTGAGGGAAGGTTTCTCCCTCTTTCCTCACCTGGCCCCTCACCTGGCCCCTCACTCACCTGGCCCCTCACCTGGCCCCTCACCTGGCCCCTCACCTGGCCCCTCACCTTGCCCCCTCACCTGGCCCCTCACCTGGCACCTCACCTGGCCCCTCACCTGGCCCCTCACCTGGCCCCTCACCTGGCCCCTCACCTGGCCCCTCACCTGGCCCCTCACTCCTGGCCCCTCACCTGGCCCCTCACCTGGCCCCTCACCCCTGGCCCCTCACCTGGCCCCTCACCCCTGGCCCCTCACCTGGCCCCTCACCTGGCCCCTCACCTGGCCCCTCACCTGGCCCCACACTGAGCACTAAGGGTTTAGGTCTCACTTGACCTGTGAGTCGGTCTGCACTCACTTGACCTCTGACCTCTCACTCCTCCCAGAGTGGTGCCGCCACGGCCATGGATACCGCACGCAGTATCTATAGATACTCTCAGATACGGGGGAGACTGTCAGAGTATCTATAGATACTCTCAGATACGGGGGAGACTGTCAGAGTATCTATAGATACTCTCAGATACGGGGGAGACTGTCAGAGTATCTATAGATACTCTCAGATACGGGGGAGACTGTCAGAGTATCTATAGATACTCTGGACGAGGCCACAAATGTGCTTTCTTGTACCTAAGAAAGTTGACGTGTTGAGGCAGGTGTTGATGAGGACGGTCTGTGGTGTGAGGAGACAGGTGAGACATGAGGTGTGAGGAAGACAGGTGACACATGAGGCGTGAGGAAGACAGGTGACACATGAGAGGCGTGAGGGAGACACAGGTGACACATGAGGCGTAAGGAAGACAGGTGACACATGAGGCGTGAGGAAGACAGGTGACACATGAGGTGTGAGGGAGACACAGGTGACACATGAGGCGTGAGGGAGACAGGTGACACATGAGGTGTGAGGGAGACAGGTGACACATGAGGTGTGAGGGAGACACAGGTGAGACATGAGGCGTGAGGAAGACAGGTGACACATGAGGCGTGAGGAAGACAGGTGACACATGAGGCGTGAGGAAGACAGGTGACACATGAGGCGTGAGGAAGACAGGTGACACATGAGGTGTGAGGGAGACACAGGTGACACATGAGGCGTGAGGAAGACAGGTGACACATGAGGCGTGAGGAAGACAGGTGACACATGAGGCGTGAGGGAGACACAGGTGAGACATGAGGCGTGAGGGAGACACAGGTGACACATGAGGTGTGAGGGAGACACAGGTGACACGTGAGGCGTGAGGGAGACACAGGTGACACATGAGGTGTGAGGAAGACACAGGTGACACATGAGGCGTGAGGAAGACAGGTGACACATGAGGCGTGAGGGAGACACAGGTGAGACATGAGGCGTGAGGGAGACACAGGTGACACATGAGGTGTGAGGGAGACACAGGTGAGACATGAGGCGTGAGGGAGAGACAGGTGACACATGAGGTGTGAGGAAGACACAGGTGACACATGAGGCGTGAGGGAGAGACAGGTGACACATGAGGTGTGAGGAAGACACAGGTGACACATGAGGCGTGAGGAAGACAGGTGACACATGAGGTGTGAGGAGGCTGGTGAGACATGAGGCGTGAGGAGGCTGGTGAGACATGAGGCGTGAGGAGGCTGGTGAGACATGAGGCGTGAGGAGGCTGGTGAGACATGAGGCGTGAGGAGGCTGGTGAGACATGAGGCGTGAGGAGGCTGGTGAGACATGAGGCGTGAGGAGGCTGGTGAGACATGAGGCGTGAGGAGACAGGTGAGACATGAGGCGTGAGGGAGACACAGGTGAGACATGAGGCGTGAGGGAGACACAGGTGACACATGAGGCGTGAGGGAGAGACAGGTGACACATGAGGTGTGAGGGAGACACAGGTGAGACATGAGGCGTGAGGGAGACACAGGTGAGACATGAGGTGTGAGGGAGACACAGGTGACACATGAGGCGTGAGGAAGACAGGTGAGACATGAGGTGTGAGGGAGACACAGGTGACACATGAGGCGTGAGGGAGACACAGGTGAGACATGAGGTGTGAGGGAGACACAGGTGAGACATGAGGTGTGAGGGAGACACAGGTGACACATGAGGCGTGAGGGAGACACAGGTGACACATGAGGCGTGAGGGAGACACAGGTGAGACATGAGGCGTGAGGGAACAAGCAACACGAGAACACATAGAGGAACGCCTCAATACTTTCTCCTGTCCAAACCGGCTCTAAACCGTTGTGCCCTTTATAGCGGCGACCCGCGGACTGTCTCCCCCCTGTCTCTGCTAAGTCACTCCTCTCTAGGCCTAAATGTCTCCCCCCCTCCCCCCTAGGCCTACCAAACCCTTGAGAACATCGTTATATGGCAACAGAATGCGGCATAGTTGGGGGTATAGGCCTATCTACTGGACAACATTTGCAGCATCGGCGGGTCAGCCTATAGGCCTATCTACTGGACAACATTTGCAGCCTCGACGGGTCAGCCTATAGGCCTATCTACTGGACAACATGTTCATTGACTGTTTTCCAGGTAAAGTATAATTTTTACTGAAGTAAAACTGTTAAGCATGTTTGGGTAAGTTGTTCTGTGGTGTATGGAAGATACGGCCTTGTTGTGTGTGAGTGTGTGTGTGTGTGTGTGTGGTCCTCCCTGGCACTCACACACACACACTCACACACTCATACACATACACTCATAAACACTCACACACATACACAGTCACACACACACACTTACTCACTCACACACACACACACACACACACACACACACACTCACACACACACACACACACACACACACACACACACTCACACACTTACTCACTCACACTCATACACACACACTCATACACACACACTTACTCACTCAAACTTATAGTCATTCACACCCTCACGAACACACTTACACGTATGTACACTCTCTCTCACACACACACACACACATTCATACACACTCATGGAGGGGAAAGAGGGGAAAACATGGAGGGGAAATCCTGCAAGAGTCAAATAGAGAGAAGGATCTGGGGGTTGATATCACACCGAACCTGTCCCCAGAGGCCCACATCAAAAGAATATCATCAGCGGCATATGATCTTTCAGAACCCTGTATACCACTTATGTAAGACCAATCCTGGAGTATGCAGCTCCAGCCTGGAGTCCATACCTAGTTAAACACAAGACAAAGTTAGAGAAGATTCAGCGGTATGCCACCAGGCTCGTCCCGGAACTGAGAGGATTGAGCTACGAGGAAAGGCTAAAGGAGCTGAACCTCACATCCCTGGAAAACAGAAGAGTAATGGGAGACATGATAACCACCTACAAAATTCTCAGGGGAATTGAAAGGGTGGACAAAGACAAACTCTTCAGCACGATTGGGACACGAACAAGGGGACACAGGTGGAAACTTAGTACCCAGATGAGCCACAGAGACGTTAGAAAGAATTTTTTCAGTGTCAGAGTAGTTAATAAATGGAATGCACTAGGAAGTGATGTGGTGGAGGCTGACTCCATACACAGTTTCAAATGTAGATATGATAGAGCCCAGTAGGCTCAGGAATCTGTACACCAGTTGATTGACAGTTGAGAGGCGGGACCAAAGAGCCAAAGCTCAACCCCCGCAAGCACAATTAGGTGAGTACAATTAGGCGAGTACAGAGTTTATGCTCGATCCTGCAGGCACAAATAGGTGAGCACAAATGCACAGATGAAATGAAGAAAAAAGTAATCAACCACTGATGTAATAGCAGTGTCAGAAACTAAATTAACTGAGAAGATAACTAACACAAAAGGCCCCAGACACCACCAAACACCACACAAGAGAACACAGAGCACAGAGGAGAGGGACTGGTGCTGAAGAGAGACAACACGTGTGAAGAGATCAGTGTAGAGGAGGACACCAATAAGAGTCAGCAGGTGTGTGAAAAGATCACTGTAGAGGACACCAATAAGAGTCAGCAGGTGTGTGAAGAGATCACTGTAAAGGACACCAATAAGAGTCAGCAGGTGTGTGAAGAGATCACTGTAGAGGACACCAATAAGAGTCAGCAGGTGTGTGAAGGGATCACTGTAGAGGACACCAATAAGAGAGTCAGCAGGTGTGTGAAGAGATCACTATAGAGGACACCAATAAGAGTCAGCAGGTGTGTGAAGAGATCACTGTAGAGGACACCAATAAGAGAGTCAGCAGGTGTGTGAAGAGATCAGTCTAGAGGAGGACACCAACACTGTCTTGCATGAAGCATTTCGAAAACTAAGGTGGTCGAGGGACTCATTCGCAACCCCCCAGAGACTCGTACAAACCCTAAACAGCAATACAAGAGTGAAAACAAAGCGTTTAAACAACAAAGTGGAACTGAATTATAATGAGAGATAACGGGAGATTTCATAGACAAATTGACGACTAGAAACGTATAGCTCCGAGAGAGGCGCCAGGAAACATGCCGAGCAAACCTGGTCGACGCTGCTGGCAGAAACATCCCGAGACAACATGTTGGGAAGACAAGGTGTAGAGGAGGGAGTGACCAGTCACCAAGACTGGCCATAGTCTTCACACCAGTAACATGGCCCTTGTGGCCACTGTGCACAAGGACTGACACTCTAGACCAGGGACCATTGTGTGTTAATGTTTGGCTGCGTTGTTGTTGTTGTTGTTGTGGCAAGAGTAAGAGAAGACAGTAGTGGACAGTAACTGACCATGTTGACCAGGACCAGCAGCTCAGAGATGAGGTAAGACAGTAGTGGACAGTAACTGACCCTAACAATATGCCTTCCGCCGAACACGTCTATGTGGGTGGGGACGAGGACAGGTTGACTAGTTTAGCAGTTACCAGGGAGGATGTAATTAAACAAATAGTTAAACTCAAGCCAAACAAATCCCCAGGGCCGGATGAAGTGTTTGCCAGGGTGCTTAAAGAATGCAAAGAGGAGCTTTGCGAGCCACTGTCTACCATATTTAATAAATCAATAGAGTCAGGCAGAGTGCCAGAGTCATGGAAGGTAGCTAATGTGGTACCAATTTTCAAGAAAGGAGATAGATCACATGCGTCAAACTATCGGTCAATTAGCCTAACGTCTATTGTGGGAAAGTTACTTGAATCGATAATTACAAATACCATTCGTCTTCATCTTGAAAAACATAAATTAATAAATGAGTCGCAACATGGTTTTACAAATGGCCGTTCATGTTTAACAAATTTGCTATCTTTTTATTCCAGCATAGTTGAGGCAGTTGATAGTGGTAAGGATTGTGATGTTGTGTACCTTGACTTTAGCGAAGCTTTTGATGCAGTGCCACATGAAAGACTGATTAAAAAGATAGAGGCTCATGGTATTGGGGGTGTTATATTAAGTTGGATTAGGGCATGGCTATACCAAAGGAAACAGAGTTAGTATAAATGGGGTTAAGTCAATATATATATATATATATATATATATATATATATATATATATATATATATATATATATATATATATATATATATATATATATATATATATATATATATATATATATATATATATATATATATATATATATATATGTCGTACCTAGTAGCCAGAATGCACTTCTCGGCCTACTATGCAAGGCCCGATTTGCCAAATAAGCCAACTTTTCTTGAATTAATATATTTTCTCTAATTTTTTTCTTATGAAATGATAAAGCTACCCATTTCATTATGTATGAGGTCAATTTTTTTTATTGGAATTAAAATTAACGTAGATATATGACCGAACCTAACCAACCCTACCTAACCTAACCAAACCTATCTTTATAAGTTAGGTTAGGTTAGATAGCCGAAAAAGTTAGGTTAGGTTAGGTTAGGTAGGTTAGGTAGTCGAAAAACAAATAATTCATGAAAACTTGGCTTATTAGGCAAATCGGGCCTTGCATAGTAGGCTGAGAAGTGCGTTCTGGCTACTAGGTACGACATATATATATATATATATATATATATATATATATATATATATATATATATATATATATATATATATATATATATACACATATATATATATATATATATATATATATATATATATATATATATATATATATATATATATATATATATATATATATATATATATATATATATATATATATATATATATATATATATATATTAAATATGACCGAAAAAGTAAGATTAATAATTCTAACACGAATTTTCTCAATCTTTCGTACATTTCTTTTCACTGTTGGAGGTAATTCAAAAATCAATTCTTCAAAATTCATTTTTATTTCTAGTCTGACGCGACACTTGAGCGCGTTTCGTAAAACTTATTACATTTTCAAAGACTTTAGTTAACACATACACAACTGAATAGAACTTACACATCTTCGATTTTGTTTATATCTACATTTGAGTGAGGTGGATGGGGTAAGGTGGTATTTAATAAGGTATTAATTTCATCAACACAAGCCAGAACATGAAACAATGGGTATTGAATAGAAGTGATTGCAGAAAGCCTATTGGTCCATATTTCTTGATGCTTCTATATTGGAGCGGAGTCTTGAGGTGGGTAGAATATAGTTGTGCATTAATTGGCTGTTGATTGCTGGTGTTGACTTCTTGATGTGTAATGCCTCGCAAATGTCAAGCCGCCTGCTATCGCTGTATCTATCGATGATTTCTGTGTTGTTTACTAGGATTTCTCTGGCGATAGTTTGGTTGTGGGAAGAGACAACCCACAACCAAACCATCGCCAGAGAAATCCTAGTAAACAACACAGAAATCATCGATAGATACAGCGATAGCAGGCGGCTTGACGTTTGCGAGGCATTACACATCAAGAAGTCAACACCAGCAATCAACAGCCAATTAATGCACAACTATATTCTACCCACCTCAAGACTCCGCTCCAATATAGAAGCATCAAGAAATATGGACCAATAGGCTTTCTGCAATCACTTCTATTCAATACCCATTGTTTCATGTTCTGTCTTGTGTTGATGAAATTAATACCTTATTAAATACCACCTTACCCCATCCACCTCACTCAAATGTAGATATAAACAAAATCGAAGATGTGTAAGTTCTATTCAGTTGTGTATGTGTTAACTAAAGTCTTTGAAAATGTAATAAGTTTTACGAAACGCGCTCAAGTGTCGCGTCAGACTAGAAATAAAATGAATTTTGAAGAATTGATTTTTGAATTACCTCCAACAGTGAAAAGAAATGTACGAAAGATTGAGAAAATTCGTGTTAGAATTATTAATCTTACTTTTTCGGTCATATTTAATAATATATGTCTACAGGAAAGACTGCTACCAAAATATACTAATATATATATATATATATATATATATATATATATATATATATATATATATATATATATATATATAT